TTCTGGTCAAAAATGACTCCAAGGTTCCTCACAGTGTTACTGGAGGCCAAGGTAATGCCATCCAGAGTAGTTCTCAGTTTTGGAAAGAAGTTCCGACACTGAACTGGATAGTGTGTACTGCATGTTTGATAAATATTATTCAATAACTTATTATACAAATCCCCTGCATACCTAACTCTGTGTCAGTGTCTATAAACTGTTTCTGTTCTGTGCTGTTTTGAGAATTGCAAGAAAAGTAGTAGGCTGTGCTTAAAGACCAGCAATGTTCAGATTACATGTAAATATGTCAGTTAATGCTGTTTAAATTTGTTCATCTTTATCTTCTCAGATACTCATCCTCCCCGGGGACGCAGCAGTAGCTTTGATTTCATTCCACCAGAGAGTGAGTCAAACTGTGTTATTCTGGAGTTGATACACTATAGGAAACTGAAATGCCTGAATATATTTAATATGTGTTTAGCTGTCATTTCTAAACCTTGTTGAAGGTTGTTCTGCTGGGGAACAGCTGTTAGGAGACATTTAAATCTTAAATCTGTTCAATTTAAATCTGTTGTGCCACCAGTTTCTCAGAAAAATCCACCACACCATCCTCCATATCCACTTTTCTGGATCGAGGAAATACCATTTTTATATTCAGCTGTATATGAACACAATTTACATCACACATAAGTAAATAAAATAATCACATCACATTTTAACCAAAGTATGAAAACACAGATGATGTCAGCCTCTGATGCATTTGTTTTACTTTTCTTTCTCTCTGTTCTGTCACAGTGTCTGATTTCAGGATTGTGTTGTTGGGGAAAAGTGAGGACAAGAAGACCAAACTTGGTAACATCATTACTGGTTGTGAAAGTTTTCAATACCAAAAACAATCCCTAAAAATGCAATGTGTGGCCTCCTGTGGAGAGTGGAGAGGAAAATCATTAAGAGTGGTGAAAACTCCCGACATGTTCGGTCTGTCTGAGGAGAAAATAAGACGAGAAGTGAAGGACTGTGTGAGTCTCTGTCCTCCTGGACCAAATGTTCTGCTGCTGATAGTGAAACCTTCTGATTTCACTGAGGAGAACAGACAGACTCTGAAGTTCATCTTGAGTTTGTTTGGAGAAGATTCCTTTAAACACTTCATTGCTGTCATAACCAACAGGGATGAAAATAGCAAATCTGTAAATGAACTCCTTAGAGAATGTGGAGGAAGACACTACAACATGTACGAAGGTAACTGTAGATCATTAATGAAGAAGGTTCAAAAGATGGTAAATGAATCCAGTGAACCTCCCCGGCAAAAACGAGAACCATCTTTAAACCTGGTTCTGTGTGGGAGGAGAGGAGCAGGGAAGACGTCAGCAGCCAAGGCCATTTTAGGTCAGACTGAGCTTCATTCAGCCTCCAACTCATCAGAGTGTGTTAAACATCAGGGAGAGGTGTGTGGACGTTGGGTTTCCCTGGTGGAGCTGCCTGCCTTGTATGGAAAACCTCAGGAGGCAGTGATGGAGGAATCACTCAGGTGTATCTCCCTCTGTGATCCAATCCATGCCTTCATCCTGGTCCTACCTGTGGCTCCCCTCACTGATGAAGACAAGGGAGAGTTAGAGACCATCCAGGACACATTCAGCTCTCGAGTCAATAACTTCACCATGATTCTGTTCACTGTACTGTCAGATTTTACAGCTCCAGCTGTTCTTAGCTTTCTAAAAGAAAACAAGGACATCCAGAAGCTCTGTGAGAGCTGTGGGGGACAGTATTTTGTTCTCAGCATGAAGGACAAACAGAAGATCCCAGAATTGTTGGAGACTGCAGAAAAAATGAGACTGCGCAAAGATAAACCAAGCTGCTATACAAAAGAAACTTTTGGACATGCCACAATAGCTCAAGTTATAACTGCTCAGAAGGAGAATAAAGCACTAAAAGATGAACTTAAATCCTGTAAGTACACTTAGACTAAATATCTGTTTATACCATATATAATGATTCACTTATATTATAATGTTCTGTTTTTTCTTTCTTCTTTAAAACTAGCTTCTAAATCCAGCTGTTCTTATTTTGTAGATGAGGATAAACAGAGCAGAGACCCTCTCAGGATTGTGCTGATTGGGAAGACGGGCAGTGGAAAGAGCTCTACAGGAAACACCATTCTAGGAAGAAAGGCCTTTGAAGCCAAAGCAATCCAGATGTCACTCACCAAACGCTGTCAGAAAGCACATGCTGAAGTGGACGGTCGTCCTGTTGCTGTGGTCGACACTCCTGGACTGTTTGACTCAACTTTGTCTCATGATGAAGTTCATGAGGAGATGGTGAAATGCATCAGCCTCCTGGCTCCAGGACCACATGTCTTCCTTTTGGTGATGCAGATTGGCCGATTCACACCAGAAGAGAAGGAGACACTCGAACTGATCAAGAAATTCTTTGGAAAAGATTCTGAGAAGTTCACCATCTTTCTCTTCACAGGAGGAGATACACTGGAACATGAAGAGCAGTCCATTGAAGAGTACATTGAAAAGGGGTGTGATGATTCCTTCAAGAAGCTGATCGCGGACTGTGGAGGAAGATACCATGTGTTCAATAACCATGACAAAAAAAGCCAAACACAAGTCAATGAGCTGATAACAAAGATCGACACCATGGTGACAGAAAATGGAGGCAGCTGCTTCACCAATGAGATGCTGCAGGAGGCTGAAGCAGCGATACAGAAACAACAGGAGACGATCCTGAAAGAGAACGAAGAAGCGATGAAGAGAGAAATGCAGGAGCTTGAAAGAAAACAAGAGGAAGAAATAAAGACAGAAACTGTAAATGACACTGAACTGACAGAAAAACAACTTCGTGAAATGAAGGGGACGATTAAAAAAGAAGATCCACAGAGAAAGAAAGAAAATGAAATGAGAGAAGAAGAGGAGAGGAAAAAGAAAGAGGAGGAAAAACATCAACAAAAGAAATGGGAACAAGAACGGGAAGCTTTGGAGAAACGAATCAGGTCATCAACAAACAGGCCGGCAGCTGATCAGAAACTGGAACAGATTAGAAAAGAAATGGAAGAAAAACGCAAATCCTGGGAGAAGGAAAGAAAGGAGTGGTGGAAAAAACGACATGACGAAAATGAACAGAGACGTCAAGAGGAGGAAAAGACACATAAAAAGCTTCAAGAAGAGTATAAACAGGAGAGGAGAAAATATAAAATGAGGAAAAAACTATACAAAAAAGAGAAAAAAGAATTAGAGGCAAAGTACAAGCGAGAGATGGAAGACATTAAGAGGAAATATGAAGAGGAAGCGAGAAGAAAAGCTGAAGAATTCAGTGAATTCATAAAGAAATACAGCGAAGCTGTTCCTTTACAACCAGCAGCTGAAGACTTTCCTAAAACCTGCGCGATCCTGTAACAATCCTCCGCAACTGGAAACACACACTGACACGAGGAGACTAAAAAACTGATTTATTTATATCCTTACAGCTAATATCTCATAATTAGCATCACATATTAATGTGTGGTCTTATACTGCAGTGTATTGTATAATAGTTTCAGATACTAACATAAACAGAGAGAATCATTCTCACAGGAACGTGGCCTCCATCATAGATCAGGTGATAGGAGATGGTACGCACTCTACACCCCTTCTTTAACTCTACAGGCCTGACCGGAGAACAACATATGGTTGCCATGGTAACAGGAACGTTGCCCAGAAAGCTGCAGAAGAAGAAACATGAGCCAAAGTGGTGGATCTCAGCATGTGGCGTTCCTCCAAATTTTGACCAATCATTTTAGTGTCCTGTTTATCACACATAATAAAAAGCATTTACTGTCTGGGTGTGGGGTTCTGTGTTCGTTTGGGTCTCCTAAGTTGAGCAGAGAGACACAGCAGATGTTTTTTTTTTTTTTACTTGAACCCACAACTGTTAAATAAATTTAAGAAAATGAACTTTGAGCATATTTGTCTTCTCTCTCTCTCAAAAACGAACCCAACAGATGCCCCACAAATTATTTGTGCTACTCCAAAAAATAGTTTCTGTCCACCACAAGAGAGAAGAGAAATCACAAGCCTGATACCAGCAGGCCTGACAGCAGGAGGTGTATCACTATGCCTGTTTCCATGGCGACAGCGTTTACATTACAATCTGCCTGCACTACAAGGAAACTGGCTCAT